GTGAGTCGGTTCCCTTTGTCCCATACTAGCCAGCTTAGCGAGGAATGATCAAACGGCCCTGCAAGTGGTGAGTGGCTCCCGTTAACCCATACACTACTGACCAGCTCGGTGAGGTATGCTCAAACAGTCCTGCACAATTGACACGGTGTTTAGAGACCAGGCCTTCATCCAGCAGTGGATTGGCAATGGAACTTTAGATAATCTTTTTGTCATAGTGTTCACTCTCAATGTATTACATCGAGTGACACAATGTGAGCTGGTTCAGGTGTACACAGTTCCAAAAGTATTTCAAATTTATCAATAAATTCAAATGTATATAATGCCGCATTCTAATGTGTTTCACGTCCTCTTCTTAACAGCACGACAATACGATCGCGCATTCATCCGTTAAGATATTTGTTTTCTTACATTTAACAACATCTTGAAATACTGTCGTGCCAACACGCCAGGTTGACGTTCGAGCGATTGAAACGTAGCAGGTCGTCGCGTTTAATCTGCTCCACGGCAGATATAAAACAACCTGTCCGCTGACATCGCGACTCACTCGTTGCGCTCGGGCGAAAACACAAAAAAACACTTTTTGCCGGGCGACATACGGGAAGGCGGCATCACCCTGCCAGGGGGCGTCAACGTAAGAAATGCCCCGGCATCGTGTGGCAAGAGGACTTCTCAGTTATGACAGGCGACGTCTCGGCTGACCAATGCTAAATTTGTTGACGTGTGAAATTACACAACGCGTTGCTTGTTAGACCCCCCTCCCAACGTCCCCCCCCCAATCCCACCACAACTCCGATACTCCCTCACCGCTGCTGCCACCACCACTAAGCAAAGGCAAAGTTCCCCCGTGTAGTCTTAACAGACTGTTGGGGCAAGTGCTGTTAGCGAGCAGCACCTATGATGGGGTGGCTAGCACCGCGCCCGGCCGCACTTTGTCTCCCGAGTGGCGATGTTTACACTCGGCACCGGAGTACTCATTTGCGGCTGAGTCGACCTAGGGGAGGCCCACGATCGGTTCAGACAATCGTCACTGGCGGTGGCTGTGAGCGGGAGTCGAACCCCCGCGGCGCAGCGCGCTAACCGCTGCGCCACCGCTCCTCACTGCCACCGCCACGACCACCACGACCACCGGACACCCGTCTTGGGCCGCGTTGGCTTGCAGCTGCCATCTCTCGCTGAAATGCAAATCCCAGGCGCAAGGAACGATGCGTAAGCGGCCACCTTAGAAGTCACTTCCTACCGTTACAGAAATGGAGAATGTTTTTTTCCCCCGATAAATAAATATATAAATACAATAAATCACCCCTCCACCCGCACCCCGTAGTGGCATTTCCTGCTGGCAAGTCTCACGTTCAGCGCCGGCTCGCCAGGGCTGCCCGCAAATCACGCGTCTTCCGCGTCTCTCTCGCGAGGTGGGCGACAGACACACCGAGGTTGTCTTGCAGTTCATTGAGATAAGGCAAGAGAGAGAGAGAGAGACACACACACACACCCCGCAAAAATGTTAAATATGGATAAAGGACACCCACACAGATGATTTTTTTATTTGGTAAATGTGGCTAAGAGACACCGCAAAAAAATGTCACATATGGACGAAGAGACACCGCCGGCATAATTCAGATGTGGCTCAGAGACACCCTGTGACAATGTTGGGGCAGCCAAAAAACAAAGCGTGGCATTTTTAACTCCGCGTTTTTCTACCCGAGCCCTCAATAAAGGGACACGTGCTTGCTGATTGTGCTCGACAACGCAACCGCTGAACACACGGCAACGCACGGGAGAGTCGGCAACGCACGGTAATTGCGTAGATTTAATGCAATTCTAATTTCGGTCGAGCTCGTCTTATCCGCGATGAAATTTGGCGAGGGGAGGGTGGGGCATGGGACAATTTTGCAGATCCTCATCTACGAGCTAAGCAATCACCACAGGGAACCACCCGCGTGTAGAACACCCCCAAATTGCAATGTTGCCGCGCCACTGGCCAAGCATGCGGGGGGTGTAACATCTTTTTTTTTTCTCACGGTCGTCACCTTGTCCGCTGTTGCTCGCGGGAAGACGGAGAGAAGCGCCCGCCACCTGTTCGCGACGAGTGGTTATTAGCGCTGTTGTGAGGCCGTGGTCACAACAGCGGCGGCGTACGAAGCCGCGAGTTGAAAGAACGGAATTTAGAAAACGATTTGAATTCGTGGGTCACTGATGCACAGTATGTATGTATGTTGAACTTCCTTTGCACCGTACGTAGCCAACCGTGCTGATCGGAGGTGCGGTGGAGAGACAACGAAACACAAAACGCAGTTTAAAAAAAATGCGTTTTCAGTCTAATATTGGAAGGAAGAGCGTTCCAGACGGCCGCATAAGCGCGCCTGGAAAGCGTGCAATGCAGCGATCATCTTTGTTCGGTGGTTATCCAAAAGCTGCTGCGAGGATGACGGGAGTTTGCGTGATGGGTGAGAATGTTTTTAACTTGATTTCTAAATGAAGCGGTAGGTGACAGTTGAGTCTGTTGCTAAAAGGGGGCTCTTTAAGAATTGGGTTAACGAGCACAAAATATGACTCAGCCCAACGTCACGCCCCCACGAAAACGAATTACAGAAGCATACGGAGGAATTTGCGGTGTGGAGGGGTGGTGCAGCGGTTAGCACACTGCGGGACAAAGCCAGTTACCTGAGTTCGAATCCTGCTGGCAAAAAAATTCAGCACCGTTAAGACTTTGCGAGGCTTTGCTGAGTAAATTTAAGGCATTATTATTAATTTAAACATCATCATCTGGCAATGCGTGTGTGTGTGTGGGCGTGCAGTGACAAGGCTTAGCACGTGGTCATGTCAGTATGATTTGTTCATTTGCTGGCCTAGTTCAAGCGTTAAAAACTTCGGCGGGCAGCTGACCGATGGCTCCTTGGCAGCAATGGTCAACGTGGATTATGGCTCCACCCGCGGAGCTTAATTGGGTGACTCGGCGAGCCGCTGCTGTGTCAGGACACTGAGCCAACGCCGCTTCGAGCCTGGGTTAGAATCCAGGTTTCAAAGCCGGTGGTCGTCTAACCAATGTGTGGCAAATGGAAATGAAAAAAAACGAAAGGTTTTCGATGGTTGCGCATCACCCGCTCTGCCGTGGAATCTGATGATACACTGAGGGCCGACTGTGCTGGAAATCAAACAAAATCTGAGGAAGAGTGCACAGTCAAGCACAGAGAGTGGCGCGCTTGGAATGAATGACACTGCGAAGCAGAAATAGCGACACGAATATCCGAGAGCGTACGCGTGTTAAGAACATAGCTGAGGCTGTTAATTAAGTGGGCTCGGGCAGGAGACGTCAACGGAATTGTACGTCATCAGCAGCCACATGCTGTATATTTGTGTTCATCGCGGTTACCGGACACACAAAGGCCCAAAAATGCCGTGTATTCAAGGAACATAAACCATCATCACGCAAACTCCGGTCATCCTCGCAGCGGCTTTTGGCTAACCGTCGAACAAAGACGGTCACTGCATCGCGCGCTTTCAGATGAGCTTCTCCGGCCGTCTGGAACGCTCTTCCTTCCGATATTGGAAAACCACTGGACCTCTGCACTTATAAATCTAGATGGAAAACTTATTTCTGTTTAACTGCTTTTTGTGTTTAGTTTGTTGCCCTTGCACCGCACCTCAGAGTAGTACGGTTGGCTACGTACGGTGCAAAAGAAGTACAACATGCATGCAACAAAAACAGCACTATCGTATCAAAAACAATCAACACATTCGTCAATAACACTGTGGCCTGCAGTGTGGTGGTTGAACAGTGTGTGTGTGTGACATCAAACGGTCTGGTAGACCGGGTCCTCGGCACGAGTGAAGTTCACGCGATCAGTTCCCATGGTGGTTCGCAGTAGAAGAGTGGTAAATAGGTGACCTAGTCACCGGTGAGCGAGTGAATGGGGTGAATCAGTGGGTGCACGTCACGTGCCCGCACGACGATGACACCCCCTCGTGACCGTTGACCCCGTGACCGTCACCCACCTTTCACCCACACGCACGCACGTGCGCGCCTGTGTATATCTCGTATCGTACATGTGCGTGTAACACTCCCCTATGTACATAGACGCCACTCTCAAGGCAGGTTATAAATTCACGGCCCCCGTTGGTCCCACGATCGGTGCCCACACTCGAGATTATTTCGGGTGGCGCTGGCAAGCCAAGGTGTTGGTGGCATTGAGTCCGTGTCAAGGTGGCGAGGGAGAGCGATGCAGCCTTGGCAGAGGGCCCCGAAGCAGGGCACAGGGTCGCGCTTGCCCAGAGGCCAGGGAGAGGCTCGCGCCCCTAGTGCGAGGTGGTTATTGGCGACGAATGGATGGCAGCCTCCACGATCCGCTCAATTGAGCGAGTTACCCGCAGCTCCGATTAGCACAGGTTGGCTACGGACGGTGCGAAAGAAGTTCAAGATACTGCACTGGAGGAAGCCGATGAGCTATGAAGCTGTTTTTTACGGGGGCCTCGTAGGATCGGGGCAGAACGTTACAGCAACAAACAATGACAAACCACGATAAGAGTACGAAGTCAAGGAAAGGTAACAAATCACTTTTTTTTTTACCAAACTAAACTTTTTTTTTATTGTACCAGGTGATGCCCACTGAGCTCTATAGCTTATTTTTCAGAAGCGACCTGGCCACAAATGATAGCTCAACAAAGTGGCTTATCCTGTGGACATTTATAGCAGCCGAATACCGTAAATAATTTGAACGATCTCAAGGCATGTTTCTAAATGTGGATGGAAAAACCGGAGGACCCGGAGAAAAAAAATCAACCATCACGGGCGAGAACACGCAGACTCAGGGTCAGAATCGAACCCCTGACCTCCTGCACATCAGGCGAGGAAGATAGCATCACGCCACAGTGGTACCCTTTGAATAAATACGTAACGGATGCTATAACGTAAGAGGTATTTTTGTAATTCTGTAATCAATGTGACTGTAATCTGTTGTGAATGTGAAATGATGCCGGTGTTCATTGCTTTGTCTGCGTGACAGGGAGGTGTTCCCCCAAGGCCTTCCGCGAGAATTCTCCTTCACCATGCTCTTCCGCCTGCGTACCACGTCTCGCAAGGAGGACTGGTACCTGTGGAGGATGACGGACGCCCATGGTGCCACGCAGGTGAGACCTGGTCTCTAATCCAGTCCTTCCATCCCTACACACACACAGCGGTGAGACCTGGTCTCTAACCCAACCCTTCCATCCTTACACACAGGGGAGGCCTGGTCTCTCACACAGCCCGTCCATCCCTACACACACAGGGGAGACCTGGTCTCTAATCCAGCCCTTCCATCCCTACACACACAGGGGAGACCTGGTCTCTAACCAGCCCTTCCATCCCTACACACACAGGGGAGACCTGGTCTCTACCCAGCCCTTCCATCCCTACACACGCAGGTGAGACCTGGTCTCTCACCCAGCCCTTCCATCCCTACACACACAGGGGAGACCTGGTCTCTACCCAGCCCTTCCATCCCTACACACGCAGGGGAGACCTGGTCTCTCACCCAGCCCTTCCATCCCTACACACACAGGGGAGACCTGGTCTCTACCCAGCCCTTCCATCCTTAGACACACACAGGGGAGACCTGGTCTCTACCCAGCCCTTCCATCCTTACACACACAGGGGAGACCTGGTCTCTCACACAGCCCGTCCATCCCTACACACACGGGGGAGACCTGGTCTCTAACCCAGCCCTTCCATCCTTACACACACAGGGGAGACCTGGTCTCTAACCCAGCCCTTCCATCCCTACACACGCAGGGGAGACCTGGTCTCTCACACAGCCCTTCCATCCCTACACACACAGGGGAGACCTGGTCTCTAACCCAGCCCTTCCATCCTTACACACAGGGGAGGCCTGGTCTCTCACACAGCCCGTCCATCCCTACACACACAGGGGAGACCTGGTCTCTAATCCAGCCCTTCCATCCCTACACACACGGGGGAGACATGGTCTCTAATCCAGCCCTTCCATCCCTACACACACGGGGGAGACCTGGTCTCTAATCCAGCCCTTCCATCCCTACACACACGGGGGAGACCTGGTCTCTAACCCAGCCTTTTCACCCACACAGATAGGTGAGACAGACAAGTGGTGGAGCAGTGGCACAGTGGTTGGCACACCTTGCTAAGAACCTGAGTTCTATTCATGGCCATGATTATTAACATTGGTGAGTGATATCTGCACCGGTCCTGGGCCACCCCTTCACCAACCCACAATGACCAGATTGGTGAAGTATGGTCAAACAACCCGCAGAGTCGATACGGTATTGGGATGCCTTCATCCAGAAGAAGATTAATAATGAATCGTAAATTATAATTATTTCACTTTTAGCATTACTGAGAAATGCAGGACATTGCCTAAGCCCCACTCCCTTCCTACACCCCCCCCCCCCGTCCATGTTCCTGGGTCTTTAGCCCCCCACTTGCAAAATTCCCGGCACCTTCCATGCGGTGCGCGTGTGTCTCTGTGTGCACACGTCGCGTTATTGGTGGGGGGCCGCTAGTGATGCGCGAAGAACCCGACGACCCGCTCGCGAAACCGAACCAGTCCTGGGCCTCGCCTCCATCAACTCAGCCTGTAATGAGTCCCCGCCGCCGTTGTGTGACATCAGCGCTGGGAAAGACACAAAGCTGCCGGGTACGAGCCTGGCCACGCCACCCTCTCGAGCGCCGGCGTCGCTCGCGAACAGCACTCGCCCCAGTAGGTCACGCACGGAGGGGGGGGGCACCCTTTGTTGTTCGCGTGCGTGCTCGTAGCTGGCGGTGCGTCTGAGTGGCGCGCGCCTCGCCCTGGACCTGGTGGTGCGCGGGGCCCCCGTGGGCACGCGGGCCTCGTTCCGCGGGCCCGCCGTGTCGGCGCTCTTCGACCGCCGCTGGCACGCGCTGGCCCTCTCGCTCGGCGGGGGTCGCGCCGAGCTGCGCGTCGACTGCGCGGTGGCCGGGGCCAGGCCGCTGCCCGATAGGCGGCCCTCGGCCGGCCTCGACGACCCCGGGGGACGCACCGATCTGGCCAAGCGCGTCCGCGACGGAGGCCCCGTCGACGTGAGTGTGGTGGCGGTGGTGATGGTGATGGTGTGTGAATGTTCAGCGTGTGGTGGTGGTCAGTGCGTGGTGGTGAGTGTGTGTTGAGTGTGTGGTCGTGGTGGTCAAAGGTTGGTGGTGGTGGTCAGTGTGTGGTTGGTGGTGAGTGCGTGTGTGTGGTGGTGGTGGTCACTGCATGGTGGTGTTGACTGTGTGGTGGTGAGGGTGCGGTGGCGCGTGTATGTGCCCTTGCGAAAGTGAGCGCGTATGTGAAGGGGAACGGTGGTGCAGCGGTTAGCGTGCTGTGCTACGAACCTGGCCACCAGAGTTCGATTCCTCGCTCACTGTCAAAACCAGCGACGAATATCCGAACCGGTCCTGGGCCTCCTCTAGGTCGGCTCAGCCTCAAATGAGTACCTGGTGTGGTGTGTAGTAAATAGTAGATAGAATTAAGAATCAATTGTTGTGCCACCATCTCACGTCTGCATCGCAGCCTAAACCTACGACACTTAATATCCATTTTTTTAGCATTTGGTCTGCTATAAATTTCCACGCGGTAAGCCACTTCGTTGAGCTCATCATTTGTGGCTGGGTCGCTTCTGATAAAAAGAACTACATAGCTCAGTGGGCCTCTCCTGGTAAAATTAAAATAGCTATTTGACATGAGCATGTCAAATGATTGAATCAATAAATCGACCCACTGTTACATCCCTGCAATTGAGTGTCTTTGAATGAAGCTGCTGCTGATGATGATGGTGATCACGAATGAACAATATGCATTGAAAATAACAATAGGTGTTACCCTTTCTGGCAATAAAACAGGAGGTGTTAGGATGTTCAAACACCAAATGGAAAACTTTTGCAAGGAATCAAGTCTGCATTACCTACACAGAGAACGTGCAAACAAAACAAGCTCTGATAATCTATTGGCATTGTCTTTGAAATTGATTGGCCAACACCAGAGACAGCAGCCTTGGTTATGGCCCTTTCTCACTACCATTCTCAAACCAGAGAACGCCAAAAGGCGAACAGCACAAGGGCAATGCACGCATCAGAGCATTTATATCTCGGGGTGAGCAGCTACATCATATTACCTTATTGCCAGTATCAAAGTATGACAAATAAGACTAGGTTTTACCCTTCCTGGCAAGAATAGCAGACGTTGAGATGTTCAAGCATACAAATAGAAATCTTGTGCTCTCGAGTGCAGTTCGACCTGCTGCGGATGCTCATCTACTGTGACCCCCGCCAAGTGGAGGAGGACAGCTGCTGCGACCTCCCTGGCGCCCAGGTACGGGCGACGCGGCGTCGAATCTCAAGCCCACATGCGCAGCCTCTCGTTAGCTTACCGCCATTTAGTTCCCGCTCACGTGGGAGGCAGGCGGGGGTGTCTGTACCTTCGATTATCACGGTTGGCTAACGTACGGCGCGAAAGAACTTCAACGTACATACCACACATGCAGTCCGTTCTCCAGTAAAGTGGTTAGTTGCGTTCCTGAAGAACACCGCGTTATGGAGGAATCGCGTTATCATAAATAATATATAACTAGGTTTGGGAGGGGCGCACCTCTGGTTGGCTGCTTGCTCGCGGTCACGTGACGCACTTCAACCAATCCGGGGGCGTTAATCACAGAATGACAGAAGGACAGATCTGGGCTATTATATATGTGTATATAGGGGAACGCACAGTCCGCAATAACACGTGAGATGCATACGCAGGCTGAACAAAGACTACCTCGAATGACGCCGAGGCAGCCGTACGACCGCTTACTCATACTCGCGCTACGTGGTTCCATTCACTCGAACACGTTGTATCCAATTCGCATCCGCGTTATAAAAACGTGTTCCCCCCCATACATTCATCGCGTTATGTACAATTCGCATTGTGAAAAACAGCACGCGTTACAGGAGGACCGACTGTACCCGTGGGTCAATTCTCCAGCTTGTTCCGCAGTCTTGGTGTAGTGCAGGCAAAACCCCACCAAGCAGCTCGAGATGAGAAATTATTTTTCTAATCAAAAATACTTTTTTATAAATTGTTTTGGTGCGTTTAAAAATATATATCATGGCTTTTTCAACGTCAATTGCCTAATAAAGATAACATTTTAAGTCGTTTGTATTAGAAACCGCTGCGACACCACAGTCTGACTCGGGAGGTCTCGGGGCGGCTGTGAAGGCGTCCGAGTAAGAGATGTTCCCCCTTCATTCGTCGCGATGAGCTTCGAGCATTTTAGCCACGCCGTTTGAGACCCATTCAGGACGCCCATGGCTGTAATGAGACGGTGTTACGACGCGAGATTGCGCTGTGCAAATATAGCAGGTCACGGTGTTTGGCAGTGTCAAAGGGGTTGTGTAGTGATGACTTGAGGGTCATGGGGTCAGAATTTGAGTGCTTTGTTATTTTTCTTCCTATTGTTTATAAACGCCTACCGTCGGTAGATAAGACAGTGATATCACTTTCACGCGAAGGCCAATAACATGACGAGCTGTTTATGAATTAGAACACCGTCTTTTCAGAGGTCACTCACAACGGCCCCACAAAGTGGAAATGCCACGAGCCGCCACTGGGGTTCTCGTGTAGCGTCTTACGAATGTCAACGACCCAGGCAGTGTTTGTTCAAATTGGTCCCACTTTGTGTGCCTGAATCATGACACACGTCTCGAATTTGAACACGGCCTGGGGCGAAAGAACAAAACAAATGCAACTATTAACGTTTCCTCCTGTGGATGCGTCGGTGCGTGCATGGGTTGGTGGCTGTGTGCGTGGGTGCGTTGGTGCGTGGGTGGGTGCACGCATGGGTGCGTGAGTGCGTGGGCGCGTGCGTGGTTGCGTCGGTGTGTGTGTGCGTGCTTATTAAAAAAACAACCCCTTGGCCAAAGTGACACAAGGCGTCATAGTTCGCCAGCCGATGATGAATGAACAAATATCGCCCCAAAATTTCAATTTGAAAGGCCTATCCCTTCTCGGGAGGCCCACTTTCGTACACGAGTGCACGTGCATTCCCCCCCCCCCCTCCTCCCCCAACATTCAAATAATAATGAAGCTCGACCAACCGTTCATAACGATAAAACTAAAAAGTTACACAAAGGGGAAGCACATGTGCGGCTTCCTGTACCTTGTGGGATGGGGCTGCACAGGTGCCACACGGCCTGCCTCTCCGCGTGCCCCGAACGAGCCCCCCGGGGGCAGCCAAGAGTGAAACTCCCCGGTGGAAATAAACGATAGATTAGATTTGGTTTCTTTAAGCCTGTATCGCGATTCTCCTTCTCTATACCCCCCCTCCCCACATTTTCATCTTTCCGCCCCCACCCCCCACACACACAATATTATGATGAGACAGAGAGGTGCAACCCTCCGTGTTAGCGAAAGGCCCATGGAAGCGGATTTCTCAGAGCTACTTCTGAGTGACCTCTCTGAGCCATATACAGTCGAATGCAACGCCTTCCCACCTGTTGTGGCATATGAGTGTAAAGTTCATCACGTGATGGTCAAAAAAATCTCAACAATCTTCTTGGTTCTTTCGGTAAAGCCACGTAGAAGGGAAATAATCAGGTGAGGACGGCTGCTTGCGTTGTGGCCGAAACGTCGTGAGAATTATTTGATTGTTTTATTTTTATTAATTCCCTTCCACGTGACTTTACCGAAAGAACCAAGAAGATGAATCCCTGCAGTCACGAAAGCTTTAAATCGAAATCTCAACAATGTCACTGTCTTCACTTACTGGGCTGAGACCATCAAACCAACTGAGCTTGGATTCGAACCCAGGTTCTGGGTGTGTCACCAACTCGGCCTCCGACCGCCTCTCGCCCTTGTGAAACCGTGGCCGTGGCACCATCTCACCCACAGTGCGCGCCGCGGCTCGAGGCCACGTTGCCTCCGCCCACGAGTCGCCTGCCGCCAGCCGGGCGGTTCTCTCCGCTCGTGTCCACGCTCACCCCGTCGCCCAACTGCTCGTGCTCGCCGGGGCCGTCCGGCCCAGAGGTGACCGCGCGAGCAGTCAACGGCGGACTTCCCTGTTTTTAAAATTTGTATTTCCTCTCTTGATTTTTTTAATGAAAATTCTCACGGCTGTTGAGCACAGGTTCAAAGTGCCAAATTTGCCAAGCGGTCAGCAACAAGCCGCATTAATAGATATCATCGGTCACAACAAGAGTCGGTTACGTTAAAAGCGCACGTAAAATTTTAAATGAGCGGCTTAATAGCCGTAGACGATTCAACGGCAGCAGACGTGATCTGATGCTGTGGCGTAGCGCGGTTGGCATTGGCCCTGGTGCAACCGGGTTAAATGGGTGGCGCCTGGACAATTTGAACACCCTCTTCGTAGCCCGGTGCCTGGGCCTCCCTGGCACCTGGCCCATGTTGCAGCTGCACCGCCTGCACACTCGATAGCCGTGCTATCGCTCCCATGATTAGTTACGTGACGGACGAGGAACTTTCACTGGATGTGCGTGACTTCTTCCAGGGTGATCGAGGGCTGCCTGGGCGAGCGGGGAATGCAGGCTTCAAGGTGAGTGCCTTCAAAAGCTTAAATAAGCACAACGGTAATGGCAAATGGCACGAAATTATATACGTGGACATTTCAGGCAATTTCATCGAACGGCAGTGGCGATATTACTCGTAAACTTCACCTTCATCGAACATGTTTCCCTGCGATTCCCTCGAATGGCCCGGCATTAAATTAAGTTACATGGTAAATGTTTAAATTACGTGGAAATGCTAACTAATATTAAGATAAAAATACATTATATGCGAATGTGCTGAACATTCAATTTGTGTTTGCGTGTAACAATGTCCGCACAATGCTTTTATCCGACGGCAAACGTCACATTTTAAGAACTGCCGCGTGATCATAAATGGTACTTTCAGAAAATATACGGAAGCTCTGGTTTAATTGTTCATAAGTTGACATTTCAGTATTGGTGGAAATAATTTGCTTTTAAAAAATTCGGGCACTATGTGTGTGTGTGATTTGTCGTGTGTGTTTGGATATTTGTCAGTCGTCTAAGTCAGCTAACCCATAACATCTGGGTTTTTCCCGTGACCTCCTACGAGGAGCTAGCCTTCCACACTTCACGTGGCCAAAGTGCATCTAGCCTGGCACAAGCGCTGTGGTGCCGCGCCATATATATTTATTGGATGGAGATGTAGCGTAGTGGCTAACACACTGCGCTACAAATCTGGCTACCTGAGCCTTATTCTCAGCCATGGCTAATATCAATGGCTAATATCTGAACCGGGCAAGGGCCTCATTACACACTTGACTTTACTAATGAGCTGAGTGGGTCATGTGGGGCGGTCAAGCGCCCGGTTTCTTCACACTGGTTTTGCCGTGGAGTTTTGAAATTAGAAATCTACGGGAGCGCCCCGGGAGTACTCGTATTGGGTCCGCTGCCAGGAGAAACATGACCCAGGCCCACTCCTGCTTCCGCGGATTTTTTTTGACTTAATTTCGAATACAGTTATCTTGAAACGTATTTGATTTTCAATTTTGACTTAAAACTTTCGTGACTTTCGGTAAAGTCACGTAGATAGAAAAATAATAATAATAAAAAAGTAAATAATAAATAATAATAAAAGAACCAAAGACTAGCACTTGATTTTACCAGGTCCTGCAACGCGGCTCATGAGCTGCAGTTTGGCCAACCGTGTTTTATCAGCTCGAAATGGAAGTCTCGGTTATTGTGTTTGTGTATTAACCTGTACGTAAGATAATGGGGATCTTTAATTGTGTCTCTGTTGTGGGGAGCGGTAGTGTAGTGGTTAGCACACTCCGCTATGAACCTAGCGACCCGAGTTCGATTTCCACTCACGGCCCACACCAGTGATAATTATTTGAACCGGTCCTGGGCCGCCCCTAGGTCGACTCGGTCTCAAATGAGTATCTAGTGTGTGTGTGTGTAAACATCGCCACGAGGGAGACAAAGGCCGTCGGGCGTGGTGCTGGCCACCCACCTCCTCGTGTGCCGTTTCGGTCTTTGCAGGTGCTACTCGGTAACAGCACTTTCCCCAATGGTATGTTAAGGCTATGCGGGGGATCTTTGTATTTGTCGTTTAGGGGAAATCTGGATTCCAAGGCTGGATGGGAGCTGCTGGACCAAAAGGAGAACAAGGGGACATGGTTAGCACTTCCCTCGTCAGCGTTGTATATATTTATCATGTTTTTTCATGTATCGCTTACATCGCATTAATTCTAAGAATATTATATCGCATTGTTGCTGTCGGCAGCGTGTTAATGAGATGAGGATATTGCAATTCGGAACCCTCGCAGAGCACGGTGTCAGAACATGGCCTTGGAAGAGGACATCACAGAACTACATCAGAAATCCCTTTAGGCCACTTTAATCAGGGGCATTTGATATGCCTGACAAAATATATTAATGAAACTGAATTTGTTTATTCTCAGAGCTTGAATAAGTCGCATTAAGTGACTATAACATTATTATTTTATTATAATATTTTTGTTGAGTCTTTGGTGATCAGGATTAGACTATCAATTTTCTGCACTTGAGAATCTGGTTCAATCGTGGGCAGCTAAAACTTGGATTCGAACCCACGACCTCACACAACGTATATTTAACGAATTGTTATTTAACACAATGCATATTTAACACGATGTATATTTAACACAATGTATATTTAACACAATGTATATTTAACACAATGTATATTTAACACAGTATATTTAACACAATGTATATTTAACACAATGTATATTTAACACTATGCATACCTAACACAATGTATATTTAACACAATGCATATTTAACACAATATTAATTGTGCGTCATGTATTTAGGCCGTTGACTGGGAAGGTGGGGGTAAGAAAGGAGACAAGGTAACTTCACCGTTGTCATATTTTCATTCGAACTTTTTGAGATTTAGTAAAAAAATATATATAAATGTGAGCGGGTGTTTGAAAAGTCCATGGCCCTGACGTAGAAGCAGTGGCACTGCCACGAAATGATCGGTTTTATTTCCAGATTTTGACTTTTTAAACAGGTGAGTGAAATGCGCTACTGTGGCTCCATGCGTTCACTGAAAACGGCGAGTCAGAAAAAGCCATCAAAATCTGTTTAAAACCCATGCTCATCATCAAACCTGGCTCCCAGTGCCTTCCACGCGTCTCCGCAGTGAACTAATCACACGTGGGGAGTGTGATGATGTTTTGTTTGCGTGGCGACGAAGCGACGTGAGCTGTGAGGCGCGAGTCGTTTGAAGAGCGAGACCAGAACGCGTTCTGGTGTGTCACGTGGCCTGCTGACGTCAGGGCTGCCATACGCCGCAGATCCCCTTCCCTGCCAGCAGCCAGCGCTGTGCTACTACACTATGCCACTACACACGTAGTCAACCACTGTCGTCTGCGCTCCTTCGACGGAGGAAGGATAGCACAACTTTAGGAATTCTCTCCTGAAGCCCTCTCGTCGTGGCTAGGAGACCTTGACATTGGCATCTAGCTCCTGAAAATATTGCTGCCATACACAAGAATAGGATATATATCACCCATTGCATCAGTGTGTTGTCTGGCGATGATAACTAGGTTATGACCGCAGCAACCGAGCCCCTCTTTCTTTCCTACAACTCGTTTAATTTTAGTTGCCGTTTGAAATCCATCTTATCGTGGCGATCTCCTGAAGTTCAGATGACCCTCACCTCGGCCTGTAGAGGTCAGCCAGCGTTTTCCACACAAGGGCGTGAACCCTTCAATCTTGTCCGACGTACGTGGGCTACATCCGGCAGCCTCTCTGAGGCTCGTTCATGAGGATGGAAGCAACGGCACTGCAATGCCGGAGCGCGGGTGCATGCCGCCCTCCGCGCATACATTTTTACGTGAAAAAAAATCGGACTTGCACCCCATCCCTACATTGCAGTTTGTGCTCTGTAGCGGGCTCCTATTGAAACGCTTTTTTTTGTTCAAAATCCGACTCGCCGAGTCTGATCTCTGTAGCGGCTGTTTTCTACAGGGTGATCCGGGGCAGACAGGTCAGCCTGGCCTCAAGGGAGACAAGGGTGAGAAGGTGAGAGAGGTCTGGCCAAAAGAGTCGTTGGGTTTTTAGGGTTTTTTGTGTGTGTATTCCCCAGTAAGAGCACTCGCGCCTGCCTCGTATCCTGCAGATGTGAAGTTGCTTTTCGCTTCATTTAGCGTTTCTTTTTTGGAAGGGTTTTTTTTTTGGTTATGTTAGCCGCTCGTGCAGAAAGAAAAATAAGCTCAACACATTTGTGAGTAACACTGTGGCGCGACATGTAAAGAAACATATTTAATGGGCGACGTTTCGGGCAATGGCTCTTCTTCATCAAGGACATTGTTCTGCTAATCCCCAACCATAAGTTCTGTCTGCTACGCAATGTTTGAGTTATACGCTTTGATGCATGCGTGTTTGTTGGACGATGTTGGAACAATATTAACGGCGATGTTTAATATATATATTCACGGTGCCGTTTGAATAAAAATGCCTTGACGTTGTTTGCTGTTTTTGTTGCAGGGTATTATGGGCTCACCTGGAATGATCGGTCTGTCTGGACAAAAAGGTGACCAGGTAAGAACACTTTGTACAGAAGCCACTTGTAGCAAAACACACAAATTCAACATGTTCATCAATGAAGCAGAAGCACTTGAATCAGAGGCCCTGGCACGTCATCAATCATTGTTTACATTTCATGAATAAAATATTAAGCTTACTTAATTAATTATTAGCACTCTACTGTATATTTCATTTCAGATACATGTAATATTATCTAATGCAAAGTTAATGTAAACTAAATTAATTCTATTTCTGAAAGTGACTGACTTTGAAAACACAATGCTGGTTAAGAATGTTTTTTAAAAGCTGTGTTTCGCCACTGACTTGAATTACATTTTTGGATAGGGCAATCAGCGAAGCATGTTGACAACGCAAGTTTTCAACTAACAATAACAAGAATAAGTAAAAGGATTGCTTCGTGTTCTCGTTCTACGAACTCATTTTACGTGTTTGATGCGCAGGGCGAAACTGGAATGAAGGGTGAATCCGGACATCCTGGAGCCAGGGGTCAGGAGGTAATGCTCTTAATAGGCAGTCTTTAGACTATTTTGGTTAAATCTGAATTGTTTCGCCGTGGCAATGTCATCATCTGGTGGCAAGGTGGCCGCGCAGTGGCAGCAAGAAGGGCCTCGGTTCGATTCCGGACTCCGGGTGGCTTTCTTTGTGGAGTTTGTATGTTCTCTCTCCCCCTGTTCTGCTTGGGTTTCCTCGGGGTTCTCAAGTTTCCTCCCATAGGTAAAAAAAGAAAGCCCATCAAATATAGCTGGTGTCGACGAAAAATCTCTAAAATTACCTGCAAATGTTTCCATTGGGATGACGCGTAGCGGCATAGCAACATAGACCTCGACTGCAAAAGCCTGGCAGGACCCTCCTGAAAAAAAGTCTTGAGGCTCAATGAGGCTTTCCGGAGTAATCATCATCAAGCAATCAGCCATGATCAATCCACTGTTGGATGAAGACCTCCCCGAGTCACCACCAGGATCCCACAATGTAATAATCATCCAACAAACTCCTGCGCACAATCCAATTTCATCGCTCCATCTGCATCACGCCCAGCCACCTTTGTCTCCCCAGTGCTGATTTGTACACACTGCACCAGTTACTCATTTAAGGCTGAGTCGACGTAGGGGAAGCCCGGGACCGGTTCAAATATTCGTCGCTGGTGTTGGCCATTATTGAGAATCGAATTCGGATCGCCGGAGTTAGTAGGGTTAGTAGCACAGCACGCTGACCGCCACACAATACAAAACCACCACCACCACCAACAACAACACCAACCGCCTGCAACGCGCCGTGCCCCACACGACGACTCGGGGCTAAACGAATGACACGTCAACGAAGCGAATGAAGAAATAAATAAGACAGAGAGAGAGAGAGGCAACACAGATGAGCCCGTGCGAGAAGGGACACGCGCCACACGTGATGCCCAACGCGCTGAGCAGCGGGCTAAATACGGCAGCCACTGAAACACAAAACGCACCCGCATTTCAAACATTTCTCTTAGGCTTCCGCGTGAGACCCTGGGCATGCGAAGGATTAATCCGTTCATCCGAGGGCTTAATTTCTCACTAAATATTTTTTTTATTTTCGCTGCCGCTAGTTAAGGCTGGAGTCGGGCACGTGACTCGTAGCCGCGGTCGGAGCGAGATGTGTACTGGATGTGGTGTACCGGGCGCGGGGAAAAAATGTTCAGGTCACCAATCCGCCTGAAATTCAGCCCCTCGGTTCACCGATTTAAACGGAGCCTTGGGTTTATGATAGACGCGTAGCATCGGGCACGTCTGTAGATGTCGGTTTGTTTTTCGAATCGCGCACACGTATGTAATTGGTTCTCACGACCCCCGCCGCCGCTGGAGGTGTCACGTTAGCCACAAATAAATTACAAAAAAACACACAACACAGATTCTAGATGGGAATCGGGACCTCGAACTTGTGACAATTCATCGAATCACGAGGTGGCAGAAGGGGGTGAATAAATACCGACGCAGCGAAACGAATATTCTGCATATTATTCTTGGTCAGTTATTTCGGTAAAGTCACGTAGAAGGGGAACAATAAAATAATAAAAATATAAAACATTAATCATTAGGTGATGATGATTGCTTGTGTTGCAGTCGAAACGTCGTGAGAATTTTATTGTTTTATATTTTTATTATTTAATTGTTTCCCTTCTACGTGATTTTACCGAAAGAACCAAGAATATGAATCCCTGCAGTCACGAAAGCTTTAAATAAAAATTCTGCATATCATCAATGTGCGTTGAGACTCTATCGCCACAATTAACGTGCTTTTTTGTGTGTCTTCCAAGAATCTCTTTGCGTGACGAGATCGTCCTCGGAGTCTTTACCCATCTAAGCCTGCTCACTTCAAAGAGGCCGTTTCGATCTTTAAATACATTCCACTCGCTCGTCCCTGGAGAACGTCAACAGACAGCGTGGTGTCACGGGAGGTGGGGGCTTTGTTTCAGATGGATTTTGTCCACGAACTTGTAATTACTGACAGTGACTCCACTGCAAGACGCACGCAGAAGGGGCCTTAGCTATTTGCGGAGACTTTGGCCTATTTTTACTCACGGGACCGTTGGATGAAAGGGGAAGGAGTACTCACACTTTACCACGCCGCTGTAACCACACTTTACCACATCGCTGCTGGTTACGCATTCTATATTTTAACGACGAAATTCAATCCACAGATTGAAACTCGTACGAATGTTTAACTTCTTTCGCAACGTACGTAGCCAACCGCGGCAATCGCAGGAGCCAAGTGTGCACGTCGTTCCCACGCGTCACCCCACCACGCGCCGATAGAGTCGGGGTGAATCGGGGGACGTACTTGCCAGGGGTGTGGACTCGAGTCATGTGACTTGGACTCGAGTCAGACTCGAGTCATGAATTTGATGACTTCAGACTCGACTTGGACTTGCATAACAATGACTTTGTCCCACCTCTGAGGTGTGGACTCGAGTCATGTGACTTGGACTCGAGTCAGACTCGAGTCATGAATTTGATGACTTTAGACTCGACTTGGACTTGCATAACAATGACTTTGTCCCACCTCTGAGGTGTGGACTCGAGTCATGTGACTTGGACTCGAGTCAGACTCGAGTCATGAATTTGATGACTTCAGACTCGACTTGGACTTGCATAACAATGACTTTGTCCCACCTCTGAGGTGTGGACTCGAGTCATGTGACTTGGACTCGAGTCAGACTCGAGTCATGAATTTGATGACTTCAGACTCGACTTGGACTTGCATAACAATGACTTTGTCCCACCTCTGAGGTGTGGACTCGAGTCATGTGACTTGGACTCGAGTCAGACTCGAGTCATGAATTTGATGACTTCAGACTCGACTTGGACTTGCATAACAATGACTTTGTCCCACCTCTGAGGTGTGGACTCGAGTCATGTGACTTGGACTCGAGTCAGACTCGAGTCATGAATTTGATGACTTCAGACTCGACTTGGACTTGCATAACAATGACTTTGTCCCACCTCTGAGGTGTGGACTCGAGTGATGTGACTTGGACTCGAGTCAGACTCGAGTCATGAATTTGATGACTTCAGACTCGACTTGGACTTGCATAACAATGACTTTGTCCCACCTCTGAGGTGTGGACTCGAGTGATGTGACTTGGACTCGAGTCAGACTCGAGTCATGAATTTGATGACTTCAGACTCGACTTGGACTTGCATAACAATGACTTTGTCCCACCTCTGAGGTGTGGACTCGAGTCATGTGACTTGGACTCGAGTCAGACTCGAGTCATGAATTTGATGACTTCAGACTCGACTTGGACTTGCATAACAATGACTTTGTCCCACCTCTGAGGTGTGGACTCGAGTCATGTGACTTGGACTCGAGTCAGACTCGAGTCATGAATTTGATGACTTCAGACTCGACTTGGACTTGCATAACAATGACTTTGTCCCACCTCTGAGGTGTGGACTCGAGTCATGTGACTTGGACTCGAGTCAGACTCGAGTCATGAATTTGATGACTTCAGACTCGACTTGGACTTGCATAACAATGACTTTGTCCCACCTCTGAGGTGTGGACTCGAGTCATGTGACTTGGACTCGAGTCAGACTCGAGTCATGAATTTGATGACTTCAGACTCGACTTGGACTTGCATAACAATGACTTTGTCCCACCTCTGAGGTGTGGACTCGAGTCATGTGACTTGGACTCGAGTCAGACTCGAGTCATGAATTTGATGACTTCAGACTCGACTTGGACTTGCATAACAATGACTTTGTCCCACCTCTGAGGTGTGGACTCGAGTCATGTGACTTGGACTCGAGTCAGACTCGAGTCATGAATTTGATGACTTCAGACTCGACTTGGACTTGCATAACAATGACTTTGTCCCACCTCTGAGGTGTGGACTCGAGTCATGTGACTTGGACTCGAGTCAGACTCGAGTCATGAATTTGATGACTTCAGACTCGACTTGGACTTGCATAACAATGACTTTGTCCCACCTCTGAGGTGTGGACTCGAGTCATGTGACTTGGACTCGAGTCAGACTCGAGTCATGAATTTGATGACTTCAGACTCGACTTGGACTTGCATAACAATGACTTTGTCCCACCTCTGAGGTGTGGACTCGAGTCATGTGACTTGGACTCGAGTCAGACTCGAGTCATGAATTTGATGACTTCAGACTCGACTTGGACTTGCATAACAATGACTTTGTCCCACCTCTGAGGTGTGGACTCGAGTCATGTGACTTGGACTCGAGTCAGACTCGAGTCATGAATTTGATGACTTCAGACTCGACTTGGACTTGCATAACAAGGACTTTGTCCCACCTCTGAGGTGTGGACTCGAGTCATGTGACTTGGACTCGAGTCAGACTCGAGTCATGAATTTGATGACTTCAGACTCGACTTGGACTTGCATAACAATGACTTTGTCCCACCTCTGAGGTGTGGACTCGAGTCATGTGACTTGGACTCGAGTCAGACTCGAGTCATGAATTTGATGACTTCAGACTCGACTTGGACTTGCATAACAATGACTTTGTCCCACCTCTGAGGTGTGGACTCGAGTCATGTGACTTGGACTCGAGTCAGACTCGAGTCATGAATTTGATGACTTCAGACTCGACTTGGACTTGCATAACAATGACTTTGTCCCACCTCTGAGGTGTGGACTCGAGTCATGTGACTTGGACTCGAGTCAGACTCGAGTCATGAATTTGATGACTTCAGACTCGACTTGGACTTGCATAACAATGACTTTGTCCCACCTCTGAGGTGTGGACTCGAGTCATGTGACTTGGACTCGAGTCAGACTCGAGTCATGAATTTGATGACTTCAGACTCGACTTGGACTTGCATAACAATGACTTTGTCCCACCTCTGAGGTGTGGACTCGAGTCATGTGACTTGGACTCGAGTCAGACTCGAGTCATGAATTTGATGACTTCAGACTCGACTTGGACTTGCATAACAATGACTTTGTCCCACCTCTGAGGTGTGGACTCGAGTCATGTGACTTGGACTCGAGTCAGACTCGAGTCATGAATTTGATGACTTCAGACTCGACTTGGACTTGCATAACAATGACTTTGTCCCACCTCTGGTACTTGCCCACGTTGTTTCGAGATGCTGTTGCCAACAGAGCAAACTGAGATGCGTGGTGGGGGGGGGGGGGGGACAGACAACAAACTGATTGAGTTCCACAGGTTGACACCAGCTCGACGAAGATTGCGACGTGGCCCAGCGGTAGCGCGCACGCGCCGTCCTTTGCGGAGGTTCGCAGGTTCGAATCCAAGCGGCAGCCCTGGTTAATACTGCGGGGGGGCGCATTAACCACAATTGCATGCCGTCCGTCTTCAGAGTGGACGTTAAAGACCCCCCCGTGACGTCGTTCGACAGAGTAGACCATTGCGTGCTGGCGACAGGACCCGCAAATTGCTCAATTTGGGATATCACAGGAGCAATAATTGCCCCCTTCCTGGCAGGCCACGTGCCGAGTCGCCTCGTGCCCACGGGGACCGCTGCCTCTGGGGGATGCCCTTTGAAACGCATGAGATGAGACGCGATGCAGATTGCTCTGAGATGCCCCGGGGTTATAGGGGGGGGGCTCTGAAAGAAAAAAAAGGGAGACAAACACGGACGAAATAAACACCGATCGCCGTGGGCGAAGTCTTAGCCAGGCGACGAAATCCCTACCCAGCCACTGGTTGAACTGGGCTGGGTTGTTGGTTTGGAGCCGTTGATGCGGGCACATCGCCGCACCCGCAACACGTTATCGTAGGCCGGCATATGAACGTGTTGAATTAAGGTCTGGTTTATTTCCGCCTCCCTTTCCATCAGATCGATAAAGCAAAAATTCGTGGCGTTTAGACTTAGCCAGGGTCAGCAATTCACGAACAACAAGCCGGATCCGCTTCAATTCGCGTAAATCTCCTTGCGGCTCTCCTTCGGCATGACTGGCCCCTGCCACAGGAATGTGGAATTCCCACCTCGAGCTCCGTGTTGCGTCACTGCCGCCAAGACTGCATGTGCGCGCGTGTCGCAAGTCTCGCAGTAAGTGGTCGCGCCTGCGTCTTCGTTAACGTGAACAGTGTGCGTCGAATCGAAACTGAAAACAACAAAAATTATATTGATAAATTCGGGATTCTCCCGTGGCTGAACGGTGAGGCAGACTGGACTTGCGAACCGGAGGTCGCTGGTTCAATGTCGCGGCACGGCAGTTGACACAATGTGGCGAGTTTCTTAAACCCCCCCACCCACTCACCAACCACCTCTGTCTACCCAGCAGTGTGAATGGGTTCACCACAGATGGTCGATCGGCAAGGGCTGCCTGTGGTGTTGGTGGTGGTGGTTGTGGGGGGTTAAGCGTGGCTACTACCACCTCTTCCGAGGCGTCTGGACAGCGTGGAAGAGTAGACCACCGGCTACCGTTCAAGAGGGCTCTCTGGCGGGGCCCCACTTGCGCCTACGACTGCCGTCAACTTCTGAGCCACGCACAGGCCGGTCGGGGTTCGCCCTCCGGAGCCTCGGCTTTGCCTGTCGACGCCTCGAGGCTTGGGTTAAACTGATTTTAAAACAGAACTAAACGCGGACAGTGAACATCACAGAAGCAAAGAGGGCCACGTTGCAATTAATTAAAGAGCAGCATCAAAAATCAGACAAGAAAATATCACAACAGGGTTTTGGCATAGTCTTGGGTCTTTCGGTAAAGTCACGTTGATAGGTTCAAAGAAAATAACAAAAACAACAACAAAAAACTACGACGTTTCGATCGCAACACAAGCGTTCGTCTCGAGGGTCGCGGCTCAACACGGGAGGGAGTCCACTTTTATTTCCGCTCAGGAGCATCCCCTGGGGACCGGGAGCGGTTCGTCACTAATGTTCAGAGGGGGGTGGGGCCAATTTCGCGACAGTGCGTGTGAGAGCCGCCACACGTTTGAAACCATTGGGGGTTTGACAGCAGTACGATGATGATGATGGTGGTGTTTTCACTCGTTGTGTGTGGTCGGGGGGGGAGGGGGCTCACATCAGGGGCCGCGCTAAAGGCCACCGGGGGTCACCAGTGGCCCGCGGTGGCCTTGCACTGAAGAGCCCTGCCTGAGATGTTGCCATTCCACTGCCCTGTACCGTGCCAGTCGCTCTGGGCGATTTGCCCTCGCATCCCCTGCCTCGTGCCCGGGATGTCCTCCCGAACCTGCAACCTCTTGCGCCACGCGTGCCCTCATGTTTGTTTAATGTTTGACCCAGTAAAGCCTCATTGAGTCTCAAGACTGATTCAGGGAAGTCAATATCTATTAGGTGAACATAAACACATTGATTTAAAGCATTTAATCGTATGTGCCTAATATATAGTGTATTGCCAAAACCCTTGACTTAAAGCTTTCGTGACTGCAGGAATTCATACTCTTGGGTCTTTCGGTAAAGTCACGTAGAAGGGAAATAATACAAATAAAACATAATAAAAATTCTCCCGACGTTTCGATTGCAAGTTATATAACTCCTTACCACAGCATCTCTCCCGCTTCAGATAAAATTTTCTTGCTGTAGATTTCACACCTGATGATGATTGCCTGTGTTGCAATCGAAACGTCGTGAGAATTTTAATCATGTTTTATTTTTATTATTTTATCATTTCCCTTCTACGTGACTTCACCGAAAGCACCAAGAATTTGACGTTCATTAGTTTCAACTCTCCGTTTTAATCGGTTTCCCTCGACCCTTTGTCGTCACCCGCGTATTCACTGCACCTAGCAGACCTCCGTGCGGAGAAGGGACTTCTGATCTCAACGGCCTCTCTTACCTGGCTCTAAAACAAAGGCAACCAAAGTGAACCCCCGAGAGCCTCGGCTCGCCACGAGACCGAGGACCTGATATTACCCCGAGTGGAAGCATGGGATTCGATCCCATGATCTCAGCGATGCTGGCTCGGGGCTTTCACACGAATATTAACGCGAAAACCCCCCCCCCCCCCCCCCCCCAGAGGCAATGAAAGTGACGTGTTTATTTGATTGCAGGGTCTGCGAGGAGCACCGGGGGAAGCCGGGCCGCCTGGTCCTGTCGGACCCGCGGTAAGTGCTTCTGCGCTAAGGCGGCGTCACGTTCGCCGTTCGTAAATCTGGGCGCAGTTTCCAGCGAGACCACCCTCCATCCCCCCCCCCCCACCGCCGCCTCCTCTCTCTTCCTGATATTCCGTTCCTCTCCTCTTACGAGCGCTCACGACCGCCGTTGCTCCCCGGCATTGTTGCGCTCGCGATTCGCCGGTGCGCGCAGGCGGAACGATTAATTAATATAACCCGTAAAAACAAAGTTTTTCACTATAAATCCTTTATATGCGTGGCGGCTAGAGTCCTCTCGTCCTCTGGCTTGCGATGGCTGCCACCTATGGGTTAGTTGATTGCATTGCACCATTAAGCAATTGGTAATTAAATATAATATTTTTGTCCTAACAAGTGTAAAATTTTGGAAAACATTTTTCACGAACATTAATTGTCACGCACAACGAGTCTGTGTGGAAAATGTCAGCTCGATTGGATCACGGGAAGTGGGTTAAAAAACGACCGAAAGATTTGCACGGTCCTAAGCAAGCAAGCAAGCGAACTTAATATAAAGGATTTAAAAACGGTCCGGGGCGGTTGTGCGGCGACTGTGGCCGCGCCGAGCGGAACCGTGGAGCGTTGTGAAGACTCGGTACCCGATTCACGAAGTGCGAAGGAGGAGGAGGAGGCATCGTCGCAGCGATACACTGCGCTACTCCTGACGCGGTTGTCCCGCTCACGAACCACCTCAACGTTGAATTCTAGCTGCGCCGGCATTACCCGTCTGAACAGTAATATTGCACTCGCACCCAGATTGCACGAGGTAGCTAAACACTCATCGGAAGGGGCATCGGGGAAAAGGTGACGCGCTCCTGCAAAACGTATCCACAGTGATCTTAGGATGACAACCGCGAGTCGTTATCATTTTTGTCGCAAATCGCGAGGGTGAGCGAGCCATTGCGCGCCCTTTGAGCATTTCACGCCCGAATTTACGTCGCGTCTCAAGACGCCGCACGCAGTGACGGGCACCGGGCACGCGTCGTGGGCGCAGCCTTCGATTCCGTCCACCTTTTCGAAGAAAAAAAAGTTTGGAATTTCAATGTTCGCTCAGTGAGTTTTTTGTTTGTTTCTAGATTTGAAGCTTTCGTGACTGCAAGGATTCATATTCTTAGGATTTTTCGGTAAAGTCACGTAGGTAAAAAATTAAAATTAATTAAAGTAAAATAAAAATAAATTGAAATCACGACGTTTTGGAGGCAACACAAGCTTGTGTTGCCTCCGAAACGTCGAAACGTCGTGATTTTTTATTTTATTTTTATTTTACTTTTATAAATTTTACTTTTTTACCTACGTGACTTTACCGAAAAAACCTTTTCTTTATTTGTTTGTTCGAATCTGAATTTCTTTTTCTCAGGGCTTAGCGGGCATTCCGGGCGAGAGGGGCCCCCTCGGAGACCAGGTAAAGACAGCAGCTGGCTGTGCCACGTGTGTCTGCCCCCCCTACCACCCCACGTGCACTCGCTGGCACCCGTAGAGCGAGCGGGCGAGCGAGCGCCTTCCACTAAAACTCGCGCGCGTGAACAAACATCGTTGTGGGATGAAGTGGGGGAATAAATGTTTTTTTATAATGTTTGTAGCTCATTACAGCACCAACCTGAAGGCAAACACTATGAACGAAACAAATGTTTTTATTATTTTACCAGGGCAGGCACACTGAGCTATAAAGTTCCTTTTCAGAAAGGATCTGTCCACAAATGATGCGGCCAACGAAGTGGCATATCACGTGGACATTTATAGCAGCTAAATACTCTAAACGCGTGTTTCTAAATGTGGAGGGAAAAACCGGAGAACCTGGAGAAAAATCCACGCGACCACGGAGAGAGAGAGAGAGAGACACGCAACCTCCAAATATACAGCAGCAGGCGTCAGGGTTGGGATCAAACCCACGACCTCCTGTATACCAGGCGAGGTAGTTAACATCTTGCCAGTCTGGCGCCCCTCTCGCCAGCGTGGTGCAGCCCCTGCAATTGCTTTGCTCACACCACTGCTGGCAGAAGGGCTATGCTCCACGTGGCCTGTGAATCCAGCACTGTGGAGGCGGCGAGGGGTGGTGGACCACACGAGCGTTGTGAAACTCCCTTGCCGTGGGTAAGGCCCCATACCCCGGCTTGCCAGTAGAAGGCAGTCCAGCAAAGTGTTGACTGATATCATCTGTCCCTTCTGTATGGCATAGAGCAGCGGTCGGGAAGCTATGGCTCGCGAGCCATATATGGCTCTTCCGGTGACGGCATATGGCTCCCAGACAATTTTGAGTTGAAAAAAATAATAATAAAATAAAAATAAAATCAGTTTGGAACTTGTGATATTGCTTAATAATACTGTGTCATTTTAAAATAAACAGAAATTAGTTTTGAAGATAACATTTCTCGGGTCACGGGTCCCGTGACCAGAAGTCGCATTAAAAGTAAGACATATTTAATTTATTATACGTTAAAAATACTATATGGCTGTCAATGAAATATATTTAGAAATATTTGGCTTTTATGGCTCTCCCAGTCAAAAAGGTTCCCGACCCCTGGCATAGAGTGTTTCCCCCTCCCATGAGCGGGTTGTCTCCGGGTGCCCCGGTTTTCTTCCCACATATAGTACAACGCTCACGGATTGGCTGGAAACATCTTGATACGTAGAGAATTGCAGAGCAATTGTTGGCGCCGGCTCACCGTCTGGAAGCCTTCCAGCTTGGTCTGTAGTTTCTCAGCGATTGTTGGATGCAATTTGCTATATAAAACTAATTATCAGATAAATAAAAAATATTGTTTCGGCCTACTCTTTTACGCTGGCCAGACGTCCCTTCGAGGTGGTGTTATTTCACGCGCGTCTGTTTTTAGTTTTTTTTTTCTTCTGCACCTAAAGACTAACGTCGTCACGAACAAAAACAAATCTAGAAAATGCTGCCGAGTCTCGCCCAGACGGGGATGACAGCTTTTGCCCTTCCTCTGTTGACCGTGCGGGCCCAGGATTATGACTTCCCTCCTTGCAATCGGGAGCGCTCCATCACCCAATTTTTGTTGTGTGTGGCGATGGCTTTCCGTCGCCTACGCAGAATACATACCAGCTTCTTAATTTGAGTTTGTCTGGAAGGGGCCCGATACGCCGTGCACGCCTATAGCGAGCCGGTCTGCCACTTGTGAACAACGCAGGCAAGTAAGTATTTCTGCGCCCGGATTTTGCAGGCAAAAAGGAAAACATTTAAAGCAGTCATACTCTTAGTTCTTTCGGTAAAGTCACGTAGGTAAAACATGAAATTAATAAAAATAAAACAATACAAATCACGACGTTTCGGAGGCAACACAAGTCTCCGTCATCAGGTGGGAGACTTGGTGGGAGACTTGTGTTGCCCCCGAAACGTCGTGATTTTTATTGTTTTATTTTTATTAATTTCATTTTTTATCTACGTGACTTTGCCGAAAGAACTAAGAGTATGAATCCTTGCAGTCACGAAAGCTTCAAATCTAGAATCTAAAGTAGTGTTCGTCATTACGAGGCCCGCGGGCCACTGGCAAGCTTCTGGTTGCATTTAGTGCTGCCCTTGACGCACTCCATCTTCGTGATGTCAACCCCAATGGTTTCAAATGTGTGGCGGCCCTCACACTGATGATGTCTTATTGGCGAAAGTGGCTCCCCTCTGAACATTCGTGAAGAACACTGATGTGAAGAATGGTTTCACTGTTGTTCTGCGATGCGCGTTTTCGGGTTGTACCACGTGTTGTTCAGCACGATGTCCGACGTTTCGCTCCAGAGGCTAAAGAAGTGACGCGTCAGACAGCGTGCAGGACGATATGCAGGGCAACACCAAACACGCGGCAGAAAACCGCGCAGCACAACCTCAAAACTAAAATAACCTCCACAGTATATATATTATTTAATATCCAGAGAAGCTTTGTGTAACTTCACTTTCGGCATTAAGGTCCCTGTGTGCTCAGTGACCTAGAGTCCCACACGCTGCAATAAATACAACGGTTAGAGCAGGTGGCAAGCGGTGAAAAATTAGACTGGACGCATGCCTCTGTGTGATCGCCGCTTGGGATAGCTTTTGAACGGCGAGGCTGCATTTTCTTAATCGTAAAGGCAGGTTCAGATTGATTCCAAGGAGCAATCTGTTTCCGTTTATAATATAATTTGTATAATGTTAAACAAGCTCTGCATGCTTCCACAGCCAGGCCCGTTGGGGGCTGTTGATGGTGCACATACATTACGTATATAAAAAAAAATTATTACTCTGTGCATCTGTGCTCCATAATCATAATTCTTGGTCGGAGACTCAAGACAGGCATTCTTTTGGTTCTTTGTAACAAAAAAATATCTCCCCCCAAAGCTGTATTTCAAATGCGCCATTGGTGTCACGTCATGGAATGAAGTGTCCGTTTGGAACGCCGTCAGTGCAGTGCAGTAGCCCGTATGTTAGGGAACGGCTCTCGAAAGTAGACACCACAGAACTGCTTCTGAGATCCCTTCAAGTAACCTATTGCGCCTTCTTCTTGGTTCTTTCGGTAAAGTCACGTAGAAGGGAAATAATAAAATAATAAAAATAAAACATGATAAAATAATTCTCACGACGTTTCGGCCACAACGCAAGCAGCCGTTTTCAGGTGAAGACCTGTCTCCCCGACAGACCTGGTCTTCACCTGAGGACGGCTGCTTGCATTGTGGCCGAAACGTCGTCAGAATTATTTTATGATGTTTTATATTTTATTATTTTATTATTTCCCTTCTACGTGACTTTACCGAAAGAACCAAGAAGATGAATCTCTGCAGTCACGAAAGCTTTAAATCGAAACTCTTGCGCCTTACCGTAGAGATGTTCATTGCGTGCCAGTAAAATATTTAAGTTTGCAACGGAATTTTTTTTCCAAAATTAAGTGTAAACCAGGCTGAGGCCATCAACTAGCTTACACTTGAGAACCCGTTGTGATCACTGATGGCTGAAACCTGAACTTCAATCCAGGATCTCAGTGGGTTGCCGGCTCTGTGTCTCTGAACCCTGCGCCACCCGGCGAAATTCCAGCGCTTCGTAAGCGCGGACAAAACATCATGAGGCCAATATAACAGTCCGCCTGGGTGGCTCATCCCTGTCAGAGGAATGTGGAATTTACACCACAAGCTTAAGAGTTTGGACAAAGTAAAGGGCCAGTGGCCCACACTCGTGTAGCTCTCATTTAGATGATTGCCTGGGAATTGAACAGGTGTTGTAGGCATTGGCTGTGATGTTGCCAGCGGGGCGGCGCTAAAGCAAATAAATTCTCCATTCCATCTCTGCGGAGCTTTAAAACGGTTCCTTAAGAAGATTCCAGCAGATAAACAAAAAATGTTACGTTCATCCAAAAAATAAATGCTCGTGCTCCTCGTTAACAGGACACAATGCGCACGTGACACTTGCGTCAGGTTGAATAAATGTGCACGTGGCGAATGAGTTTTTTAAAAGTCAAAAGTTCCATATGTCGGGACGACTACAATCAGGGCGCTAATACAGAATAACACAAACATCACGGCGCACGATGTCACAAGTGGCTGTTAGAGACTCAATTCCCTTTCGTAAAAAAAAATAGAAAAAAGGGGGGGGAGGGGTCACTAAACCTGCGCGAGAAACAAAAACAGGGCAATGTTTTGAGTTACTTCTTCCAAACGGAAACAGCGGCACGTGGGAATTGAACGTCGACGTGAATTCATTTCCAATTGCGGATGACGTCGCCCTGATCGTGTTTGACTCTGCAGGGTGCGAAGGGAGACGCTGGCCTTCCCGGATTCGCTGGAGACGCGGGGAAACCTGTGAGTGACTGAACGTGCACGCATCGCACCCAGACAGTTCTAGTGGCACTACCATTTGACCCCCGACCTCAGCCGTGTGATAAGCCGGCGGCTGGACGGGTCAACATTTTGGTGGGACGGTGAAGGGGGGCTGGGGGGGAACACACGAACGTTTGTACCTGGGGAAGTAATGGACGGCTAGGCGTGGTGTTACCCAAGGCCGTAGCCATGGAGTCAACATTAGGGGGGACCAAATCTTTCAGGGGGTCTGGGGGCCCCCCCCCCCCCAGAAAAAAAATCTAAATTTGAAAACTTATTTCCTGCCTAAAACATTACAAAATTCACTAACACATAGGATGGGCTTTTTCTTTATTTTATACAATAATGTCTTATAGTGTATTGTATTACATTTCTGCTTTTTTCTTTTTTACCTTTTCTTGTTTCATTGTATGTAATGGTAGAGATAGATTCGGGATTAATAAAGTACAACCAATAAGCACAATCATAGAAACAGAAATCTATTTTATAGCAATATATTGGGGGGGAACATTTTGAGCATATTTTAATATTGGGGGGGGGGGGTGTCCCCCAATGTATATTATAATTACGGCCTTGGTGTGGTACCCACACCGCCTCTTAGCGGGCCTTTATAGGTGCTCGCTCACGGCACTTGCCCCAACGCTCCCTGGACTCCCAAGGCCCTTTACCAACCCACGCTGACCAGCAAGGTGAAGTATGAACAAACATTCGCCCTTGACCGACAACACCTTAGTGAAACCTCCATCCTCCATCGAAATTATTTTGATTGTGTGCGTGTGTGTTTGTTTCGCCACCGACAAGAGCCTCGTTGCATGGTCGTATGTATTAATATGTTGAACTTCTTTTGCACCGTACGTAGCCAACCGTACATGCCATTGGATACATTGAACTGTTCCTTTGACCAAATCACCTGCAACGTGGCCGATCTCATCAGATCTCGGAAGCTAAGCAGGTTTGATCCTGCATAGCACAGAACTCGGATGGGCGACCATCATGCATGACAGATATTGTTGATTGTAGCCATCGTTGTACTGTGCTTCTATGCACCTACGACACCCGCTTTCACAACCCACAGCGACCAGCGTAGCGAAGTATGGTCGCACCTGCCCGTGACCCACACAGTAAGGGATGACCTTCACACAGCAGTGGATTTACAACGGGCTGGGCTGCTACAACGACTTCCACCTGTAAACTGGGGCATCTCCCAATCCCCTCGACCTCGTCATCCCTCTCTCTCACCCCCTACCCATCTCCCCCGACAGCCCTCGGGGCACAGGGGGCGAGGAAAACATTTTCTGGAGCTCAGCCCCAGACAGCTCCGGCCTGATGCAATCAAGCCGTCTGCACGTGTGGATTTTCATTTAGCAATCCGCGGAGTGTTTTAAAGCGATGGGGGGTGGGGGGGAGGGGGGAGCTGAACGCGAAATGACAAATTACATCCGTCGCTCCTCTCGACCCTGCGGAGGTGCGTGATGGCGATCCTCTCTCTCTCTCTGCCCGCCGCTCGCGTTTCCCGTCCGGCAGCCTCTCCCGCCCTCCGGGTACGTTTGGTCGTCCGTCATCTCGGAGGGCCGTAACTCTGCCCGCATTGGAGCCGAGGTCAATTAAGATGATGTATCTCTCATCGCGTAAATGGGCCCCCCCCCCTCCCAAACCCCTTCGTACATTTGCCCCACTGCCGGAGAGAGCGGACGGCGCTTTGCAAAAAGAGGCGTCCGGGAATCTTGTCGTTGATCACGAATCGGGATTCATGGAAGGTTTTTTTTGTTGTTGTTGAAATTTATTTATTCTCGTTGAAATGAGTTTTTTTTTCAGTTTTAGTTTTTGCTCGCTCAATAACCACCAGGGGCTGGCCGCTTAAATGCAGATGCCTTTCAATGAATGAATTTATTGTAACGATTTATGTGCATCCCCCCCCCACAGCTCCCGAGCCCCCTTCCAAGGTTTTCATTATGTTGACGGCTTGAGAGGGGCCGGAAATGCATTTTGCCGATTTGATTGAAGGAGCCTTTAAATGCAGGCGGACACATTGATTCATTGGCCTGTGTTTATGAGCAGGTGAGAGGTCATTTAAAGCAGAAGTCTGATTCAGGGGATGATATAAGTGCTTAAAAACATTACACACTTATGCTAAGAGCCATGGGCTAATATGGAATTACATCGAGACCCGTAGACTTGTGCAGGCTTGCATTGAGAACCACAGACTTGTGTGGACTTACAGGGAGATGCACAGACTTACATGGACTTACATGGAGAGACGTGTAGACTTACACATAGATTCATAGAATTACATATGCTTACACAGAGACGTATACAATTACATAGAGGCCCTTTGACTTGTGTGGACTTCTATACAGATCCGTTTACTTTCATATGATTACACAAAGACCCATATAACTGCAGACACTTGCCCTGACTTGCCTAAAACCCCATGGAATTATATGAACGTACATTGAAACCCACCGACTTGCCTAGACTTATACACATAGCTGGATCCATTACCTTTATTTTGGAGCGGGCAAAGAGCCCCGTTGAGTCCAGCAGTCTGAATGCGAGAAATGGGATTAGTTCGGGGCACATGGACACACTATGGCATGCTTAGGACTTGTCACGCATAGAAGGGAAGGTGCCCGACTGTCTAGAACAGGGGTGGGGAACGTCCGGCCCGCGGGCCGTATAAGGCCCGCGAAATCATTTGGTGTGGCCCTGCCAAGGCAACTGCAGGCGGGACTCGAAATTCACTAAATCTCGGAGCAAACCTGGAAAAGCAGTTGCGAGTAGCAGCATCGTCAATACCAGCTAACATCACACGCCTCGCCAAAGAGAAGCAGTTCCAGCCATCGCATTAGGGGTGAGTTAATTAAATGTTTGACCAAATATAACAGTAGAAGGGAAATAATAAAATAATAAAATATAAAACAGTACAATGATTTTTTCAAATGTTCTTGCTGTGGATTTCACACCTGAGGATGATTGCTTGTGTTGCAGTCGAAACGTCGTGAGAATTGTATTGTTTTATTTGTATTATTATTTTATTATTTCCCTTCTACGTGACTTTACCGAAAGAACCAAGAATATGAATCCCTGCACTCACGAAAGTTTAAAATCAAAAATCAAATATAACAGGCTAATTTTTAAGTTAATTATTTTGTATGGCCCGCGAATGATGTCATAAATATCCAATTGGCCCTTGGCAGAAAAAAGGTTCCCCACCCCTGGTCTAGAAGAAGAATAACGGAGTGGCAGCCAATGGATATAATGCATCGGAGAGGAATTCCACCACGGAGATGGAGCGATTACATTAATTCCCGTGCAGGTGCGAGTAGATTACCCTTATTATTATAATTATCATCACAATGAAGACAGATTGGAGAGGCCTCCATCGAGCGGTCGATTGATCATTGCCGATAATGACGAAATGTATCGTTTGCCTTTAAACAAATAAATAATTATAGATTTGAAGCTTTCGTGACTGCAAGGATTCATATTCTTAGGTTTTTTTGGTAAAGTCACGTAGGTAAAAAATTAAAATTAAAATTAATAAAAGTAAAATAAAATTATTATTAATTTAAATTAAAAAAATTTACCTACGTGACTTTACCGAAAAAAACTAAGAAAATTAACAATTGATTGGCGTTCCTGCCGCGCAAGAGGATTTGGTCGCGCTGAAATGATCGCGAAGCATGAAATCTCATTTGGGCTGCAGACCTCTTCTCACAGCAACTGCCGTTCAGCGTTCCCCGTGGAAGTGCTCAAGGGAGGGGGGGTGAGATTCTGTGAGTGTGAGAGTGAGTATAGGTGGAGCGGTGGTGGAGCGGTTAGCGCGCTGCGCTACGAACCAGGCGACCCGACTTCGATTCCCGCTCACGGCCAACACCGGTGACGATTATCTGAACCGATCCTGGGCCTCCCCTAGGTCGACTCAGCTTCAAATGAGTACCTAGTGCGACGTGTAAAAAACATTGCAGCTAGAGAGACAAAGGCGACCGAGCGTTGTGCTGGCCACCCACCCGTTCGTGTGCTGTACCTGCCTTTATAGGTGCTCGCTAACAGCACTGTTAAAAGGCTGTAGGGGGATCTTTGTCTTGTGTGAGCGAGTGAGTAAGTGTGCTGAGTTAGCATGGGGGTTTTTTTTGCATTTTCTTCTCCACCCACATTTTTTTCCACAGAATCCCCTGAACATGCACAGCACGCGCACACCGCTGCCTCCATTACGAAATGCGCTTCCCCCTGGCTCGGCACCGACAATAAAACAACGAAGCATCGTGGCGTTGATAGTGGGGCGAGTTGGAGTTTCTTGACCAATCGCGAAGATGTGCTGCTTGTCTCGTAATGCATCCGCGTGGACGACGTGATGCTTTCAAGCATGCGTTTGTCCTCAGTTAATAATAATATAAATTTTCATTCGTGAGGCTCGTTCTCAGAGAGAGGAGATAGAGAGAGACAGAGGATGACTCAGAGGCGCGAGGATGAACCACATGCGTATGGAAAAGACAGCAGCTGGGCAGCGAGCCGGCTCTAAATCCCCCCTCCCCCCTCCCACCAAGCTCTGCGGTCCTCTATATATGAAGTTGGTATCGGCCAGTTAATGAGTGTTTACATGCGGGAGGAAGCTTGAGCATCTGGACAAAACCCCACCCGTGCCAGGGCGATGGGGGGGGGGGGCAACACCTTATCCCATACAGATGGAAGAGTTTGAGTAAAATTAACGCTGTGTTAGCTGTCGGGACCAAGTGTGTTTTTATGTTTGTGACTATTCCTCTTCTGCTCTGGTTTTGTTTCGACACATATTGGGCAATAACTCTTGGATCCCCTTGGCCACTTTTCAACGAGACAAGTCCCTAATAGGAACGTGACTTTCTGATAAAGTTTCATTCATCTCGCATCATGGGACAGTTGGTTCATTCGGAACTCTTGCAGGGGAGAGCGTAAGCCCCACACCAGAGAACGGTCCGCTGAAGGAGATGTCATAGAACTGCTTC